ATCATCCAGGGGGTCAGGGGATCGTCCATGGGGTCAGGAGATCATCACTGGGGTCAGGAGATCATCACTGGGGTCAGGAGATAATCCAGGGGGTCAGGAGATCATCCATGGGTCAGGAGATCATCACTGGGGTCAGGAGATCATCATGGGGTCAGGGGATCATCCATGGGGTCAGGGGATCATTCAGGGGGTCAGGGGATCGTCCATGGGGTCAGGGGATCATTCAGGGGGTCAGAAGATCATCCATGGGGTCAGGGGATCATTCAGGGGGTCAGGGGATCATCCATGGGTCAGGGGATCATCACTGGGGTCAGGAGATCATCCATGGGGTCAGGGGATCATCCATGGGGTCAGGGGATCATTCAGGGGGTCAGGGGATCATCCATGGGTCAGGGGATCATCACTGGGGTCAGGAGATCATCACTGGGGTCAGGGGATCGTCCATGGGGTCAGGGGATCATCACTGGGGTCAGCAGATCACCACTGGGATCAGAACACCCCAGAGACCCTGGACTCGGAGGGATTTGAGGAATTCTTCCCCCAGCTCCCAAATCCCCACGGCACGGCATCGCTTCCCACGCGGTTTTCCAAGCTGGAATTGGCTTCCTGCGGGAAGCGCCACGCGGTCCCTCGTGGCCACACAGCAACCAACCCCACACATTCCTCCTGTTTCCAGAGGGACAATTCCAGTTTGGGATGGGCTGATCCCATCAGGAGCACCCTGGGAATTCCGGAGCTAAAGCTGGAGTTAAACCCGGGATCAGAGGGTGCAGGAGAATTAGGGATGGAGACACCCCAGAATGGGATGGGAGGGACATCAAATCCCATCAAATCCCATCAAATCCCATCAAATCCCACCCAGGGACACCTTCCCTGATCCCAGCCTGGCCTGGGACACTTCCAGGGACAGAATTCCCCAACTTCCCAAGGAATTCCTTCCCAATATCCCACCCAATCCTCCTCTCTTCCAGACATTCCTGCATTATCATTTTTGTCCCATCAAAATTTCCCCCTCTTTGGAGGGAATTTTAACTGAACAGGAGATGAACCAACCGCTGCCTGAATAATTAATATTAATTATTAATAATAATGAATCTTTGTGAAGTGCCACACCGGGGAAAGAATGGAAAAAAAACAGTTTGATTACAAACTTCATTAAAAGGGGCTTCCAAATTATTCCAAATATAAAATGAAGTGGTTTTGTCTTGGGAAGGATGGATCCCATTGTAGCTTTTCCTTGGAGTGGGATGAATTATTCAGGAGTTCAGAAAATTCCCTGTTCCACGTAGAAAACATCTGATTTATTTCATCATCATATTAAACATCTCTAGGAGGCTGCAGGAGGAAATCCGGAATTCCACTGCAGAGCCAGGAAAGCGCAAAAAATTCGGGCAGGAAAAGGAAATTTCACCTTTATTGTGAAAATTCCTTCCAATATTTCACCTCTGCTCACTGAAAGGATATTTATTAAGTGTAAAAAAATCCTTTTTTTATCAACAGGTACCACCTCAAACCGAGGCCACAGTGGGGTTTATTCTGAATTATCAAAGCTGTTTGCTCCAAACCTTTCACTGCCTCCCTCGAGGGACCCACAACTTTCCAA